AGAGAGGACAGTGGATAGAGTCAGAAACCAGAGAGAGAGAGGACAGTGGATAGAGTCTGAAACCAGGGAGAGAGAGAGGACAGTGGATAGAGTCAGAAACCAGAGAGAGAGAGAGGACAGTGGATAGAGTCTGAAACCAGGGAGAGAGAGGACAGTGGATAGAGTCTGAAACCAGGGAGAGAGAGAGGACAGTGGATAGAGTCTGAAACCAGAGAGAGAGAGGACAGTGGATAGAGTCAGAAACCAGAGAGAGAGAGGACAGTGGATAGAGTCAGAAACCAGAGAGAGAGAGAGGACAGTGGATAGAGTCAGAAACCAGAGAGAGAGGACAGTGGATAGAGTCTGAAACCAGAGAGAGAGAGAGGACAGTGGATAGAGTCTGAAACCAGAGAGAGAGAGGACAGTGGATAGAGTCTGAAACCAGAGAGAGAGAGGACAGTGGATAGAGTCAGAAACCAGAGAGAGAGAGGACAGTGGATAGAGTCAGAAACCAGAGAGAGAGAGGACAGTGGATAGAGTCTGAAACCAGAGAGAGAGAGGACAGTGGATAGAGTCAGAAACCAGAGAGAGAGAGGACAGTGGATAGAGTCTGAAACCAGGGAGAGAGAGAGGACAGTGGATAGAGTCTGAAACCAGAGAGAGAGAGAGGACAGTGGATAGAGTCTGAAACCAGAGAGAGAGAGGACAGTGGATAGAGTCAGAAACCAGAGAGAGAGAGGACAGTGGATAGAGTCTGAAACCAGGAGAGAGAGAGGACAGTGGATAGAGTCAGAAACCAGAGAGAGAGAGGACAGTGGATAGAGTCTGAAACCAGAGAGAGAGAGGACAGTGGATAGAGTCTGAAACCAGAGAGAGAGAGGACAGTGGATAGAGTCTGAAACCAGAGAGAGAGAGGACAGTGGATAGAGTCAGAAACCAGAGAGAGAGAGGACAGTGGATAGAGTCTGAAACCAGGGAGAGAGAGGACAGTGGATAGAGTCAGAAACCAGAGAGAGAGAGAGGACAGTGGATAGAGTCTGAAACCAGAGAGAGAGGACAGTGGATAGAGTCTGAAACCAGAGAGAGAGAGGACAGTGGATAGAGTCTGAAACCAGAGAGAGAGAGGACAGTGGATAGAGTCTGAAACCAGAGAGAGAGAGAGGACAGTGGATAGAGTCTGAAACCAGAGAGAGAGAGGACAGTGGATAGAGTCAGAAACCAGAGAGAGAGAGAGGACAGTGGATAGAGTCTGAAACCAGAGAGAGAGAGGACAGTGGATAGAGTCAGAAACCAGAGAGAGAGGACAGTGGATAGAGTCTGAAACCAGAGAGAGAGGACAGTGGATAGAGTCTGAAACCAGAGAGAGAGAGGACAGTGGATAGAGTCTGAAACCAGAGAGAGAGAGAGGACAGTGGATAGAGTCTGAAACCAGAGAGAGAGAGGACAGTGGATAGAGTCAGAAACCAGAGAGAGAGGACAGTGGATAGAGTCAGAAACCAGAGAGAGAGAGGACAGTGGATAGAGTCAGAAACCAGAGAGAGAGGACAGTGGATAGAGTCTGAAACCAGAGAGAGAGAGGACAGTGGATAGAGTCTGAAACCAGAGAGAGAGAGGACAGTGGATAGAGTCTGAAACCAGAGAGAGAGAGGACAGTGGATAGAGTCAGAAACCAGAGAGAGAGAGGACAGTGGATAGAGTCAGAAACCAGAGAGAGAGGACAGTGGATAGAGTCTGAAACCAGAGAGAGAGAGGACAGTGGATAGAGTCAGAAACCAGAGAGAGAGAGGACAGTGGATAGAGTCTGAAACCAGGGAGAGAGAGAGGACAGTGGATAGAGTCTGAAACCAGAGAGAGAGAGAGGACAGTGGATAGAGTCTGAAACCAGAGAGAGAGAGGACAGTGGATAGAGTCAGAAACCAGAGAGAGAGAGGACAGTGGATAGAGTCTGAAACCAGGAGAGAGAGAGGACAGTGGATAGAGTCAGAAACCAGAGAGAGAGAGGACAGTGGATAGAGTCTGAAACCAGAGAGAGAGAGGACAGTGGATAGAGTCTGAAACCAGGAGAGAGAGAGGACAGTGGATAGAGTCTGAAACCAGAGAGAGAGAGGAGAGTGGATAGAGTCAGAAACCAGAGAGAGAGAGGACAGTGGATAGAGTCTGAAACCAGAGAGAGAGAGGACAGTGGATAGAGTCAGAAACCAGAGAGAGAGAGAGAGGACAGTGGATAGAGTCTGAAACCAGAGAGAGAGAGGACAGTGGATAGAGTCTGAAACCAGAGAGAGAGAGGACAGTGGATAGAGTCTGAAACCAGAGAGAGAGAGGACAGTGGATAGAGTCAGAAACCAGAGAGAGAGAGAGGACAGTGGATAGAGTCTGAAACCAGAGAGAGAGAGGACAGTGGATAGAGTCAGAAACCAGAGAGAGAGAGGACAGTGGATAGAGTCAGAAACCAGAGAGAGAGAGGACAGTGGATAGAGTCAGAAACCAGAGAGAGAGAGAGGACAGTGGATAGAGTCAGAAACCAGAGAGAGAGAGGACAGTGGATAGAGTCTGAAACCAGGAGAGAGAGGACAGTGGATAGAGTCTGAAACCAGAGAGAGAGAGGACAGTGGATAGAGTCTGAAACCAGAGAGAGAGAGGACAGTGGATAGAGTCTGAAACCAGGGAGAGAGAGAGGACAGTGGATAGAGTCTGAAACCAGAGAGAGAGAGGACAGTGGATAGAGTCAGAAACCAGAGAGAGGACAGTGGATAGAGTCTGAAACCAGAGAGAGAGAGGACAGTGGATAGAGTCAGAAACCAGAGAGAGAGAGAGGACAGTGGATAGAGTCAGAAACCAGAGAGAGAGAGGACAGTGGATAGAGTCAGAAACCAGAGAGAGAGAGAGGACAGTGGATAGAGTCTGAAACCAGAGAGAGAGGACAGTGGATAGAGTCAGAAACCAGAGAGAGAGAGGACAGTGGATAGAGTCTGAAACCAGAGAGAGAGAGGACAGTGGATAGAGTCAGAAACCAGAGAGAGAGAGGACAGTGGATAGAGTCTGAAACCAGAGAGAGAGAGAGGACAGTGGATAGAGTCTGAAACCAGAGAGAGAGGACAGTGGATAGAGTCTGAAACCAGAGAGAGAGAGGACAGTGGATAGAGTCAGAAACCAGAGAGAGAGAGGACAGTGGATAGAGTCTGAAACCAGAGAGAGAGAGAGGACAGTGGATAGAGTCAGAAACCAGAGAGAGAGAGGACAGTGGATAGAGTCAGAAACCAGAGAGAGAGAGAGAGGACAGTGGATAGAGTCAGAAACCAGAGAGAGAGAGAGAGGACAGTGGATAGAGTCAGAAACCAGAGAGAGAGAGAGGACAGTGGATAGAGTCTGAAACCAGAGAGAGAGAGAGGACAGTGGATAGAGTCAGAAACCAGAGAGAGAGAGGACAGTGGATAGAGTCTGAAACCAGAGAGAGAGAGGACAGTGGATAGAGTCAGAAACCAGAGAGAGAGAGAGGACAGTGGATAGAGTCAGAAACCAGAGAGAGAGAGGACAGTGGATAGAGTCAGAAACCAGAGAGAGAGAGAGGACAGTGGATAGAGTCAGAAACCAGAGAGAGAGAGGACAGTGGATAGAGTCAGAAACCAGAGAGAGAGAGAGGACAGTGGATAGAGTCTGAAACCAGAGAGAGAGAGGACAGTGGATAGAGTCTGAAACCAGAGAGAGAGAGAGGACAGTGGATAGAGTCTGAAACCAGAGAGAGAGAGGACAGTGGATAGAGTCTGAAACCAGAGAGAGAGAGGACAGTGGATAGAGTCTGAAACCAGGGAGAGAGAGGACAGTGGATAGAGTCAGAAACCAGAGAGAGAGAGGACAGTGGATAGAGTCTGAAACCAGAGAGAGAGAGGACAGTGGATAGAGTCTGAAACCAGAGAGAGAGGACAGTGGATAGAGTCAGAAACCAGAGAGAGAGAGGACAGTGGATAGAGTCAGAAACCAGAGAGAGAGAGAGGACAGTGGATAGAGTCAGAAACCAGAGAGAGAGAGGACAGTGGATAGAGTCAGAAACCAGAGAGAGAGAGAGGACAGTGGATAGAGTCAGAAACCAGAGAGAGAGAGGACAGTGGATAGAGTCTGAAACCAGAGAGAGAGAGAGGACAGTGGATAGAGTCTGAAACCAGAGAGAGAGGACAGTGGATAGAGTCTGAAACCAGAGAGAGAGGACAGTGGATAGAGTCAGAAACCAGAGAGAGAGAGGACAGTGGATAGAGTCAGAAACCAGAGAGAGAGAGGACAGTGGATAGAGTCAGAAACCAGAGAGAGAGAGGACAGTGGATAGAGTCAGAAACCAGAGAGAGAGAGAGGACAGTGGATAGAGTCTGAAACCAGAGAGAGAGGACAGTGGATAGAGTCAGAAACCAGAGAGAGAGAGGACAGTGGATAGAGTCTGAAACCAGAGAGAGAGAGAGGACAGTGGATAGAGTCAGAAACCAGAGAGAGAGAGGACAGTGGATAGAGTCTGAAACCAGAGAGAGAGAGAGGACAGTGGATAGAGTCTGAAACCAGAGAGAGAGAGGACAGTGGATAGAGTCAGAAACCAGAGAGAGAGAGAGGACAGTGGATAGAGTCAGAAACCAGAGAGAGAGAGGACAGTGGATAGAGTCAGAAACCAGAGAGAGAGAGAGGACAGTGGATAGAGTCAGAAACCAGAGAGAGAGAGAGGACAGTGGATAGAGTCTGAAACCAGAGAGAGAGAGAGGACAGTGGATAGAGTCTGAAACCAGAGAGAGAGAGAGGACAGTGGATAGAGTCAGAAACCAGGGAGAGAGAGCGGGGAACGACATGCAGAAAGGGGCCACGGGTGGAAGTGAACCCGGGCCTACCGCTCGAGACGAGAGTCTCAATACATGGGACGTGCGCCCTAACCATTGTGCCACCAGCGCGCCCCGAGAGTGTGTGTGTGTTTGTGAACAGTGTGTGTATGAATGTGTCCATCATGCCCTCGTCCAATTTGTTGTTGTTTTGGCGTTGAGCATGCTGCTCCTTGTTGCCTCCCTCAGGTCTCATCATCGCCCGGCGGTCGTCGCTGCGTTGCCGTGGCGATGTTCCATCGCAGGAAAAAGAAGCGTAGGCCGCAGATCTCTGCGCCGCAGGATTTTCAGCACAGAGTCCACACGTCGTACGATGCAGCCACCGGACGCTACGTGGGTCTGCCACCACAGTGGCAGAGCGTCATTGACACGCTGAGGAGGCCACGCCCCCTGGTGGACCCCTCGAGGGTCACCGAGGTCGAGCTAAGAAAGGTGAGACGAAATCTTTATAAACAGACCTTCTAAACGGTGGATAAAAAGTCAAACTCATGTCATCATCGTGAAATCAGAACTAAATATAATTTATTAAACTGGGATAACATGATTAAATTAGCCGACATTTTACTTGTATTCAAAATGTTTCATCATATGGCTCCCCTTCCATTCAATGAATTCATTAAACGAAATCTAAACACATCTACCAGAGCATCTGCAAGAGGGGATTGTAAAATTCCATGTAAAAAAAGTAGTTTTGGGCAGTCAGTCTTTTCTTATCGAGCAGCACATACTTGGAATACTATACCCACAGAACTAAGGAACATCACATCTCTGAAATCCTTTTCTAAATCTATAAAACAATGGCTATTAAAAAATCAGCTGCCATAATCTGGATGAATGTACTTTGTCTTTACTTGTAGTCTCTGTTTATATATGCTCCTTGTCTGTTTGTATATGTTCCTTGTCTGTTTATATATGTTCCTTGTCTGTTTGTATATGTTCCTTGTCTGTGTTTATATATGTTCCTTGTCTGTGTTTATATATGCTCCTTGTCTGTTTATATATGTTCCTTGTCTGTGTTAATATATGTTCCTTGTCTGTGTTTATATATGTTCCTTGTCTGTGTTAATATATGTTCCTTGTCTGTGTTTATATATGTTCCTTGTCTGTGTTTATATATGTTCCTTGTCTGTGTTTATATATGTTCCTTGTCTGTGTTTATATATGTTCCTTGTCTGTTTATATATGTTCCTTGTCTGTGTTTATATATGTTCCTTGTCTGTGTTTATATATGCTCCTTGTCTGTTTATATATGTTCCTTGTCTGTGTTTATATATGTTCCTTGTCTGTGTTAATATATGTTCCTTGTCTGTGTTTATATATGTTCCTTGTCTGTGTTTATATATGTTCCTTGTCTGTGTTTATATATGTTCCTTGTCTGTTTATATATGTTCCTTGTCTGTTTATATATGTTCCTTGTCTGTGTTTATATATGTTCCTTGTCTGTGTTTATATATGTTCCTTGTCTGTGTTTATATATGTTCCTTGTCTGTGTTTATATATGTTCCTTGTCTGTTTATATATGTTCCTTGTCTGTGTTTATATATGTTCCTTGTCTGTGTTTATATATGTTCCTTGTCTGTGTTAATATATGTTCCTTGTCTGTGTTTATATATGTTCCTTGTCTGTGTTTATATATGTTCCTTGTCTGTGTTATATATGTTCCTTGTCTGTGTTTATATATGTTCCTTGTCTGTGTTTATATATGTTCCTTGTCTGTGTTTATATATGTTCCTTGTCTGTTTATATATGTTCCTTGTCTGTGTTTATATATGTTCCTTGTCTGTGTTTATATATGTTCCTTGTCTGTGTTTATATATGTTCCTTGTCTGTGTTTATATATGTTCCTTGTCTGTGTTTATATATGTTCCTTGTCTGTTTATATATGTTCCTTGTCTGTGTTATATATGTTCCTTGTCTGTGTTTATATATGCTCCTTGTCTGTTTATATATGTTCCTTGTCTGTGTTTATATATGTTCCTTGTCTGTGTTATATATGTTCCTTGTCTGTGTTTATATATGTTCCTTGTCTGTGTTATATATGTTCCTTGTCTGTGTTTATATATGTTCCTTGTTGTGTTTATATATGTTCCTTGTCTGTGTTTATATATGTTCCTTGTCTGTGTTTATATATGTTCCTTGTCTGTGTTATATATGTTCCTTGTCTGTGTTATATATGTTCCTTGTCTGTGTTTATATATGTTCCTTGTCTGTGTTTATATATGTTCCTTGTCTGTGTTATATATGTTCCTTGTCTGTGTTATATATGTTCCTTGTCTGTGTTTATATATGTTCCTTGTCTGTGTTTATATATGTTCCTTGTCTGTGTTATATATGTTCCTTGTCTGTGTTTACATATGTTCCTTGTCTGTGTTTATATATGTTCCTTGTCTGTGTTTATATATGTTCCTTGTCTGTTTATATATGTTCCTTGTCTGTGTTTATATATGTTCCTTGTCTGTTTATATATGTTCCTTGTCTGTGTTTACATATGTTCCTTGTCTGTGTTTATATATGTTCCTTGTCTGTGTTTGTATATGTTCCTTGTCTGTTTATATATGTTCCTTGTCTGTTTGTATATGTTCCTTGTCTGTGTTTATATATGTTCCTTGTCTGTGTTTATATATGTTCCTTGTCTGTTTATATATGTTCCTTGTCTGTGTTATATATGTTCCTTGTCTGTGTTTATATATGTTCCTTGTCTGTGTTATATATGTTCCTTGTCTGTGTTTATATATGTTCCTTGTCTGTGTTTATATATGTTCCTTGTCTGTGTTTATATATGTTCCTTGTCTGTGCTAATATATGTTCCTTGTCTGTGTTTATATATGTTCCTTGTCTGTGTTAATATATGTTCCTTGTCTGTGTTTATATATGTTCCTTGTCTGTGTTAATATATGTTCCTTGTCTGTGTTTATATATGTTCCTTGTCTGTGTTTATATATGTTCCTTGTCTGTTTATATATGTTCCTTGTCTGTGTTATATATGTTCCTTGTCTGTGTTTATATATGTTCCTTGTCTGTGTTATATATGTTCCTTGTCTGTGTTTACATATGTTCCTTGTCTGTGTTTATATATGTTCCTTGTCTGTGTTTATATATGTTCCTTGTCTGTGTTTATATATGTTCCTTGTCTGTGTTAATATATGTTCCTTGTCTGTGTTTATATATGTTCCTTGTCTGTGTTTATATATGTTCCTTGTCTGTTTATATATGTTCCTTGTCTGTGTTATATATGTTCCTTGTCTGTGTTAATATATGTTCCTTGTCTGTGTTTATATATGTTCCTTGTCTGTGTTATATATGTTCCTTGTCTGTGTTAATATATGTTCCTTGTCTGTGTTTATATATGTTCCTTGTCTGTGTTAATATATGTTCCTTGTCTGTGTTTACATATGTTCCTTGTCTGTGTTTATATATGTTCCTTGTCTGTGTTTATATATGTTCCTTGTCTGTTTATATATGTTCCTTGTCTGTGTTTATATATGTTCCTTGTCTTGTTTATATATGTTCCTTGTCTGTGTTTATATATGTTCCTTGTCTGTGTTTATATATGTTCCTTGTCTGTGTTTATATATGTTCCTTGTCTGTGTTTATATATGTTCCTTGTCTGTGTTATATATGTTCCTTGTCTGTGTTTATATATGTTCCTTGTCTGTGTTTATATATGTTCCTTGTCTGTGTTTATATATGTTCCTTGTCTGTGTTTATATATGTTCCTTGTCTGTGTTTATATATGCTCCTTGTCTGTGTTTATATATGTTCCTTGTCTGTGTTTATATATTCCTTGTCTGTGTTTATATATGCTCCTTGTCTGTTTATATATGTTCCTTGTCTGTGTTTATATATGCTCCTTGTCTGTGTTTATATATGTTCCTTGTCTGTGTTTATATATGTTCCTTGTCTGTTTATATATGTTCCTTGTCTGTGTTTATATATGTTCCTTGTCTGTGTTTATATATGCTCCTTGTCTGTTTATATATGTTCCTTGTCTGTGTTTATATATGTTCCTTGTCTGTGTTATATATGTTCCTTGTCTGTGTTTATATATGTTCCTTGTCTGTGTTTATATATGTTCCTTGTCTGTGTTTATATATGTTCCTTGTTTGTGTTTATATGTTCCTTGTCTGTGTTTATATATGTTCCTTGTCTGTGTTTATATATGTTCCTTGTCTGTGTTTATATATGTTCCTTGTCTGTGTTTATATATGTTCCTTGTCTGTGTTTATATATTCCTTGTCTGTGTTTATATATGTTCCTTGTCTGTGTTTTATATGTTCCTTGTCGTGTTTATATATGTTCCTTGTCTGTGTTTATATATGTTCCTTGTCTGTGTTTATATATGTTCCTTGTCTGTGTTATATATGTTCCTTGTCTGTGTTTATATATGTTCCTTGTCTGTGTTTATATATGTTCCTTGTCTGTGTTTATATATGTTCCTTGTCTGTTTATATATGTTCCTTCTCTGTGTGTTTATATATGTTCCTTGTCTGTTTATATATGTTCCTTGTCTGTGTTTATATATGTTCCTTGTCTGTGTTTATATATGTTCCTTGTCTGTGTTATATATGTTCCTTGTCTGTTTATATATGTTCCTTGTCTGTTTTATATATGTTCCTTGTCTGTGTTTATATATGTTCCTTGTCTGTGTTTATATATTTCCTTGTCTGTTTATATATGTTCCTTGTCTGTGTTATATATGTTCCTTGTCTGTGTTTTATATGTTCCTTGTCTGTGTTTAATATGTTCCTTGTCTGTGTTTATATATGTTCCTTGTCTGTGTTTATATATGTTCCTTGTCTGTGTTTATATATGTCCTTGTCTGTGTATATATGTTCCTTGTCTGTGTTTATATATGTTCCTTGTCTGTTTATATATGTTCCTTGTCTGTGTTTATATATGTTCCTTGTCTGTGTTTATATATGTTCCTTGTCTGTGTTTATATATGTTCCTTGTCTGTGTTTATATATGTTCCTTGTCTGTTTATATATGTTCCTTGTCTGTGTTTATATATGTTCCTTGTCTGTGTTTATATATGTTCCTTGTCTGTTTATATATGTTCCTTGTCTGTGTTTATATATGTTCCTTGTCTGTGTTTATATATGTTCCTTGTCTGTGTTTATATATGTTCCTTGTCTGTGTTTATATATGTTCCTTGTCTGTGTTTATATATGTTCCTTGTCTGTGTTTATATATGTTCCTTGTCTGTGTTTATATATGTTCCTTGTCTGTGTTTATATATGTTCCTTGTCTGTGTTATATATGTTCCTTGTCTGTGTTATATATGTTCCTTGTCTGTGTTTATATATGTTCCTTGTCTGTGTTTATATATGTTCCTTGTCTGTGTTTATATATGTTCCTTGTCTGTGTTATATATGTTCCTTGTCTGTGTTTATATATGTTCCTTGTCTGTTTATATATGTTCCTTGTCTGTGTTTAATATGTTCCTTGTCTGTGTTTATATATGTTCCTTGTCTGTGTTTATATATGTTCCTTGTCTGTTTATATATGTTCCTTGTCTGTGTTTATATATGTTCCTTGTCTGTTTATATATGTTCCTTGTCTGTTTTTATATATGTTCCTTGTCTGTGTTTATATATGTTCCTTGTCTGTGTTTATATATGTTCCTTGTCTGTGCTTATATATGTTCCTTGTCTGTGCTTATATATGTTCCTTGTCTGTGTTTATATATGTTCCTTGTCTGTGTTTATATATGTTCCTTGTCTGTGTTTATATATGTTCCTTGTCTGTGTTTATATATGTTCCTTGTCTGTGTTTATATATGCTCCTTGTCTGTGTTTATATATGTTCCTTGTCTGTGCTTATATATATTCCTTGTCTGTGCTTATATATGCTCCTTGTCTGTTTATATATGTTCCTTGTCTGTGTTTATATATGTTCCTTGTCTGTGTTTATATATGTTCCTTGTCTGTGTTTATATATGTTCCTTGTCTGTGTTTATATGTTCCTTGTCTGTGTTTATATATGCTCCTTGTCTGTTTATATATGTTCCTTGTCTGTGTTTATATATGTTCCTTGTCTGTGTTTATATATGCTCCTTGTCTGTTTATATATGTTCCTTGTCTGTTTATATATGCTCCTTGTCTGTGTTTATATATGCTCCTTGTCTGTGTTTATATATGCTCCTTGTCTGTGTTATATATGCTCCTTGTCTGTGTTTATATATGCTCCTTGTCTGTGTTATATATGTCCTTGTCTGTGTTTATATATGTTCCTTGTCTGTGCTTATATATGTTCCTTGTCTGTGTTTATATATGTCCTTGTCTGTTATATATGTTCCTTGTTTGTGTTTATATATGCTCCTTGTCTGTTTATATATGTTCCTTGTTTGTGTTTATATATGTTCCTTGTCTGTTTATATATGTTCCTTGTTTGTGTTTATATATGTTCCTTGTTTGTGTTTATATATGTTCCTTGTTTGTGTTTATATATGTTCCTTGTTTGTGTTTATATATGTTCCTTGTGTGTGTTCATATATGTTCCTTGTCTGTGCTTATATATGCTCCTTGTCTGTGTTTATATATGTTCCTTGTCTGTGCTTATATATATTCCTTGTCTGTGCTTATATATGCTCCTTGTCTGTTTATATATGTTCCTTGTCTGTGTTTATATATGCTCCTTGTCTGTGTTTATATATGTTCCTTGTCTGTGCTTATATATGTTCCTTGTCTGTGCTTATATATATTCCTTGTCTGTGTTTATATATGCTCCTTGTCTGTTTATATATGTTCCTTGTCTGTGTTTATATATGTTCCTTGTCTGTGTTTATATATGTTCCTTGTTTGTGTTTATATATGTTCCTTGTTTGTGTTTATATATGCTCCTTGTTTGTGTTTATATATGCTCCTTGTGTGTGCATGGTGCTTTTGTCTGTGTTTAAATGTATTTAAATGTGTTATATGTTACACATTTGTATTTTATGTCTGTGAGCTGCTTTATCAGTTACTTCCATGTGTATGTGTTGTTTTATTTGTTATGTTTATGTGTTCTTGTCTCTATGTTTTTGTGCTTCATTTTCCTGTTTGCTTTTTAATGTTTTCTTAAATGTCATCAACCTGCCAGGGACTGCAGATGAAAATGAGCCTGCATGGCTAAATCTGGAACATTTGCATGTGTGTCCCTTTTAAATAAAGAAATGTAAAAAAGAAATTAAAACTGACCACACGCTAACTCTGTTAGCCTTGTGTAGCCTCTGTTAGCTAACTGTTAGGTACAATCAGAAGCTATTAGCGGTGCTAAAGCTAACGGAGGTGATAAAATCATCTGTTTCAGATGAAAAGCACATGAGCACCCGGCCTGATGTCAAAAACATTAAAAACAAACTCAGAATGAAAGTGAGGTTTGAAAAGTTTCGTTAGCATGAATGATTTATGTTAGCACAAGCTAACAAAGTTACGTTTAAACAGTGATATCGCATGAAATGAGGACCTGATAAAAGTCATGTTTATTTGATTCTGATTTAATTTGTTTGTATTTTGGCAGTTTGTTGTTCATGCCTGTTTTTGGAATTCTGACTTTCTACATTCAAATTCAAATAACTTTATTTATCCGTTAGGAACTTCATTTGTGTAAAAGAGCATCAGTGCGCATACAGCTAGACACAAAAACAACAGCAGAAACACACACATACAAGTGGCTCTATTAAAAGCATGATAAATAGGTCATAAATAATTGTTATAAGCGGTTAAATGAGTGGTGTTAAAAATACATAAGAAAGAGATCGTTTACATTTGCAGCATGTTTCTCTTGATGATGATATTTTGGGACTTTGTGACATGTTTGTCCTTGTCAGCCTCCATAGAAAACAAAGTGATTCAGCCTAAACTTTAACAGGAGAATAAATCGTCCAACAGTACAACTATGTAACGGGTCAAAGAAACGCTGGACGACTTTGTTTTATTAACCCTCTGCGAACAAGGGGAGAAACTGACCATTAGAGGTGGAGTCATGGCGCTTAATTAAAGTTTTGAAGTGGGAAAGATGTCACTGTTGAACTCAAAGCTACATGTTGATCAGAGCAGAGCTGACCTCTGACCTGTTGATCCCTGAACGATGTGTTCACTGGTTCTCTGTAAATGACATGTTTGTGTGAAGTTCAGCTGAAACGGGAGTTGCTGTTTTAATGCTGGACTCTAAACATGACAACGTTTTTAATAAATTCTGATAGAAAAAGTAAATTTTTATAATAATAATGTCTATAAATGAAATATTAACATTTAGATAAAAATGATCCATCAAATATTTCAACACTTAAAGGGAAACTTCACCATGAAACATGAATCTGTGTTGACTTTGGGTCATATATGTAGAAATGTGAAATACATTTTGAAGTTGGAGCCTTCTTGACTGAGAAAAGACAGAAAGTGTCTTTTTGGCTCATGTGGATGAAAGACACCAAATCCCAGAATGCACAGCACCGCAGGCCACTCCCACTAAGGTCCTCTAGTTCAGAATCAGAAATACTTTATTAATCCCAGAGGGAAATTCCATCGTTACAGTTTCTTCAAAATATACAGTATAGCAGTAGAAATATAGAAATAAAAACATTTACAGACATATTTACTTCAACACATCAGACCGTTTCCTCAACTGATTCAGAGATTTCTTCCAGAATTGATCTTGTAAATTCCAGTGACGCAAAAATCGTCATTTTGCGTCACTGGACTTTGGACTTTGAATTTCCAGACTTAGAAATACAAAGATTTAACATCTCAGGGGAAAATGAAGGCGGGATGCACGACCATTCAAAAATCCTACCAGGTTTCTAATGATGCTAAGCTAAATGCTAATGGGTGACGTATCCCTTTAAAGGTCCAATCAGTGAAATGATAAAGTGAGCTTACTATATGATCCGACATTAAGGAAACATGTTGTGTGGCGTCTCTTGCAGTTCTTAAATCTTAGATAAAATAAACTTAACCTCACCCTGTTTTTATTTAAATGTATTCTTGGATTGACCAATCACAGCTCGTTGATCTCTGACCGATGTCTCTACAGACGATAGTTCGGGGTAGTTTCATCGGTCATGAGGACTACATTTCCCACGTCATCTCTGAGATGAGCCGTCTCTCCGTCACAAGCTCCAACTCTCTTCGCCGGAGCAGCCCATCGGCTCGGAAACGGGCGCGCTCTCTAGGGCGCCTGGGAGAACTGGTGGAGAACGAGACGTACCAGTACGAGGAGCTCGTTAAACATGGTGCCAAGACGAGTAGGAGCTCCACCTACTGGCAGGACAGGATACGACAGGTCCGCAGCGAGAGCGGCAGCCCCAAACTGAATGGGTACCTGCAGAGAGCCAAGTCCACCTGCGAGGTGGGGACTGAGGCCACGCCCCCCACACCTCAGACAACAGGTGCAACGGGTGGTCTGTGCGCAGGGGCATCGCTTAAGCAGAGGCCGACTTCCTGTCAGGTCAGCAAGCGGACTGTGGAGGCCGGCAGAGCTCACCTGAGACAGAAAGCAGCTGAACTGCCCGACCTGCTGTCCACCTCCAGAGAAACTCCCAGAAGGCCTCACTCCACCTACGACCTCAAGGTGAGACCCAGAGGCGGGATGGGGTTAAAGGTCATAAGTTCATAAGAATAAAGACATTAATAATAATTTAGATGTATTTGTCTCCCCCTGCTGGTCGAACGTGGTACTGTCAACAGGTTTAGACTGAAGTTAAATGTTTACATTAAACCTTGAAGAAGTGAACCTGTGATTTAATCATTTCCTGACCCCCCCCCCTCAGCTCCCCTCCTCCTCACCCCCCCTCCTGCTGCCCCCGCCAAACAGCACCAGCAGCCCGTTGGTCACCGGCCGGGGTTTACCTCGCCGCCTGCTCCGCCCCTCCTCCAGCTTCAACATTGGCACTTCTCCAAGGACACAGACCCCCCTGACCCAGGACGTCCCCTCTCAGCGCCGCCCCTCCCCCACAGGCTCACCAGGACTCCCTCCGTCCTCCTCCGGCCTCTGCCCCTCCTCCACCCCGCAAACGGCGCCTGACGGCGGTGGAAGGGTGACTCACGAGCAGTTTAAGGAGGCGTTGCAGATGGTGGTGGACCCAGGAGACCCGAGGACTGCTCTGGAGAACTTTGTGAAGATCGGGGAGGGGTCCACGGGGGTGGTGTGCATCGCCCGGGAGAGACACAGTGGGCGGCAGGTGGCGGTGAAGATGATGGACCTGAGGAAGCAGCAGCGACGAGAGCTGCTCTTCAACGAGGTAAACAACAGAATCATTTCTTCAACTCTTAATGAAGAATCCATCATGAAGAGGAATCAGTGACTGTCGTAGTCTACAGTTCACTGCTAACAGGTGCTAACAGGTGCTAACAGGTGCTAACAGGTGCTAACATTAAAGGTCCCATATTCTCGGTTCTAGCCCCTCTTGATAAAAATGTGTCAGTGTGAGATCACTGATCTAAGCCCATTGGCTCGTTGTGGCCCAGCAGCTCATGTTGCACGCCCGTTAACTTCTGTAGCACGCCCACGACATGCCGTAGCCTGCGGTAGCACAGTAGTGCTAAGGTGCTAATGTTTATGCTCCCCTCGGAGCCAAAGTGGCTGCATTCCAAATATGGTAAAAGAGGCAGGACATTTCCGAGAAGCGTGCTGAGCAACTGACCAATAACGACAGAGCGGCTCAGCAGACCAATCAGAGCAGACTTGGCCCACGTGGTTGTCATGGTGATGGTGTTATAAAGGTGTGATAAGTTAGACTGTGACATCATCAGCAGCCTCACCTGTCTCTGTGACATCATCAGCAGCCTCACCTGTCTCTGTGACATCATCAGCAGCTTCACCTGTCTCTGTGTGTCTCAGGTGGTGATCATGAGGGACTACAGGCATCAGAACGTGGTGGAGATGTTCCGCAGCGCTCTGGTGGAGGAGGAGCTCTGGGTAATAATGGAGTACCTGCAGGGCGGCGCTCTCACGCACATCGTCAGTGAAACCAGGTGAGCAGGAACGCCACAGACACCTGTTTGTTTGTGTTGATAGAGTGTGTGGGGTCACAGTGTGTGTGTGTGTGTGTTCAGGCTGAATGAAGAGCAGACAGCGACGGTGTGTGAAGGCGTCCTGCAGGCGTTATCTTACCTCCACGCTGAAGGAGTCATTCACCGAGACATCAAGAGTGACTCCATCCTGCTGACACTGGACGGGAGGGTAACACACACACACACACACACACACACACACACACACACACACACACACACACACACACACACACACACACACACACACACACACACACACACACACACACACACACACACACACACACACACACACACACACACACACACTAACAGACCTCTTTTGTCTCTGCAGATCAAACTGTCAGACTTTGGGTTCTGCGCTCAGATCAGTAAAGACGTCCCAAAGAGGAAGTCTCTGGTCGGGACGCCGTACTGGATGGCTCCTGAGGTGATCTCCAAGAGACCGTACGGGACAGAGGTACTACACAACTACACAGCTACACAACAACACACAACTACACAACAACACACAACTACACAGCTACACACAACTACATAACGACACAGCTACACAACAACACAACAACACACAACTACATAACTACACAGCTACACACAACTACACAACAACACACAACTACACACAACTACACAGCTACACACAACTACATAACTACACAGCTACACAACAACACAACAACACACAACTACATAACTACAGAGCTACACAACAACACAACAACATACAACAACACACAACTACATAACTACACAGCTACACAACTACACAACAACACACAACTACACAACAACACACAACTACACAACTACATAACTACACAGCTACACACAACTACACACATTTCCTCCAACACGTCTCTGAGATAGTTTGGGTTTAGTTGGTGATGATTTTAAACATTGACTGTATATGATATGGACAGTGTGTCCCCGTCTTCTTCAGTTGTGTAAAGTGAAGTCTGAATATCCTCACGAGGGGTCGCTGACATGATCGCTGATGGAATTGCAGCTCTTCCACTCCCCTTCCTCTAACCAAAACCCACATATAACTTCCTGCTAAGGTCAAAGGTCAGTCAGTCGGGTTCAGTCCAGAACAGATTCTTGTGTCTATACAGTTATGGAAAGTTCAGCAAGAGCCTCATTGGTCAACACAGCTGTCAATCATTGCATTATACTCCCCTCATCAAATAACTAAACCTCTGCCTGATAAGAACATAATGTGGGTTTGTCCCATCTGTTAACATGGAGGAGGTGGAGCTTATGACCTATACTGCAGCCAGTCAGGAGGGGGAGCTTCACCCCTAGTTAGCTGTTGCTCTGTACAGGTCTGGTCCTCATGAGTCCCGCTTCCTGTCCCCTCAGGTGGACATCTGGTCTCTGGGCATCATGGTGGTGGAGATGGTGGACGGAGAGCCGCCATATTTCAGTGACACGCCCATCAACGCCATGAAGAAGCTAAGAGACGAGGTAGCACCGAGTGTGAAGAACATCCACCGGGTCAGAGCGCACGCACACACACACACACACACACACACACACACACCACACACACACACACACACACACACACACACACAACAACAACAGCAACAACAACAACAACAGAAAGTCCTCATTGTTTGTGAAGACGACGCTCATGAAGAAGAAGGGGAGTGTCTTACCTTTATCCATTGGGACGTCATGGGAGGAGCTAAAAGAGTCTTCAGGCATCACACCACCACCTACACACACACACACACACACACACACACACACACACACACACACACACACACACACACACACACACACACACACACACACACACCAGCTAACAGGAAGGTGTGAGCTACCTGGTAGAAGTTGATGATGTCACTCTCCACCTGAACAGGTGTCTCCGGTGCTGAAGGACTTCGTGGACTGCATGTTGACTCGTGACACGCAGCAGCGCTCCAGTGCCACTGACCTGCTGGAGCATCTGTTCTTGCTGCAGGCGGGCACGCCGCGCTGCCTGGTGCCGCTGGTGGAGCAGCACCGCAAACGCATGTCCCACTGCTGAACACCTGCTGAACACCTGGGAGAACACCTGAGGGAAGAGACTCATCTGAGTTGAATGTGAGGCTAACCTGAGACTCACCTGAGACTCACCTGAGACTTACCTGAGACTCACCTGAGACTCACCTGAGATCAACCTGAGATCAACCTGAGACTCACTTGAGACTCACCTGAGATCAACCTGAGACTCACCTGAGACACACCTGAGATCAACCTGAGACTCACCTGGGATCAACCTGAGACTCACCTGAGATCAACCTGAGACTCACTTGAGACTCACCTGAGATCAACCTGAGACTCACCTGAGACACACCTGAGACTTACCTGAGATCAACCTGAAACGTAGCTGAGACTCACCTGAGATCAACCTGAGACTCACCTGAGACTCACCTGAGACTCACCTGAGACTTGCCTGAGACTCACCTGAGACTCACCTGAGATCAACTTGAGACTCACCTGAGACTTACCTGAGACTCACCTGAGACCAACCTGAGACTCACCTGAGATCAACCTGAGACTCACCTGAGACTTACCTGAGACTCACCTGAGACTCACCTGAGACTTACCTGAGACCAACCTGAGACTCACCTGAGATCAACCTGAGACTCACCTGAGACTCACCTGAGATCAACCTGAGACTAACCTGAGACTCACCTGAGACTCACCTGAGCTCAACCTGAGACTAACCTGAGACTCACCTGGTAGAAGTTGATGATGTCACTCTCCACCTGAACAGGTGTCTCCGGTGCTGAAGGACTTCGTGGACTGCATGTTGACTCGTGACACGCAGCAGCGCTCCAGTGCCACTGACCTGCTGGAGCATCTGTTCTTGCTGCAGGCAGGCACGCCGCGCTGCCTGGTGCCGCTGGTGGAGCAGCACCGCAAACGCATGTACCACTGCTGAACACCTGCTGAACACCTGGGAGAACACCTGAGGGAAGAGACTCATCTGAGTTGAATGTGAGGCTAACCTAACACACACCTGAGACTTACCTGAGATCAACCTGAAACGTAGCTGAGACTCACCTGAGATCAACCTGAGACTAACCTGAGACTCACCTGAGACTCACCTGAGACACACCTGAGACTTACCTGAGATCAACCTGAAACGTAGCTGAGACTCACCTGAGATCAACCTGAGACTAACCTGAGACTCACCTGAGACTCACCTGAGACACACCTGAGACTCACCTGAGACTTACCTGAGACTCACCTGAGATCAACCTGAGACTCACCTGAGACTTACCTGAGACTCACCTGAGACCAACCTGAGACTCACCTGAGATCAACCTGAGACTCACCTGAGACTTACCTGAGACTCACCTGAGACTCACCTGAGACCAACCTGAGACTCACCTGAGACTTACCTGAGACCAACCTGAGACTCACCTGAGATCAACCTGAGACTCACCTGAGACTCACCTGAGATCAACCTGAAACTCACCTGAGATCAACCTGAGACTCACCTGAGACTTACCTGAGACTAACCTGAGACCAACCTGAGACTCACCTGAGACTTACCTGAGACTCACCTGAGACCAACCTGAGACTCACCTGAGACTCACCTGAGATCAACCTGAGACTAACTTGAGACTCACCTGAGACACCTGAGACTCACCTGAGACTCACCTGAGACTCACCTGAGATCAACCTGAGACTCACCTGAGATCAACCTGAGACTCACCTGAGACTTACCTGAGACTCACCTGAGACCAACCTGAGACTCACCTGAGATCAACCTGAGACTCACCTGAGACTTACCTGAGACTCACCTGAGACTCACCTGAGACCAACCTGAGACTCACCTGAGACTTACCTGAGACCAACCTGAGACTCACCTGAGATCAACCTGAGACTCACCTGAGACTCACCTGAGATCAACCTGAGACTCACCTGAGATCAACCTGAGACTCACCTGAGACTCACCTGAGACTAACCTGAGACCAACCTGAGACTCACCTGAGACTTACCTGAGACTCACCTGAGACCAACCTGAGACTCACCTGAGACTCACCTGAGATCAACCTGAGACTAACTTGAGACTCACCTGAGACACACCTGAGACTAACCTGAGACCAACCTGAGACTCACCTGAGACTTACCTGAGACTAACCTGAGACCAACCTGAGACTCACCTGAGACTTACCTGAGACTCACCTGAGACTAACCTGAGATCAACCTGAGACTCACCTGAGACTCACCTGAGACTAACTAAATACATGTGTGAGACTTCCCTGAGAACTCTCAGGTAAGCTGGATTCTGACAGAGCTCATGGAGTCACATCAGGTCGTAGACTTTTGCCTCCAGGTGCATGTCACCTGTAGACACACCTGAGAGGAAGTGACCTCACATATCCTGAGTCTTGTTTTGAAAGACTGATTATTTCCTGTCAGATCACTTTAATGCTGCTTCCTCCTGAACTTTAAGTATTTTAAACATTTCAGGTTTTTCTGTTCAGAGATCATCTTTGTGATGGTTGAATCACTTTTTCACATTTGAATCACTGATAAGTCTTCAGATCTACTCTGATGATGCAGGGGCCTGATTCGTCTACACAGCTGTCAATCATGACATCACACCCTTTTTCATAATTTTATAATCAAAACTCAAGTTCTCAGAGAAGTGACATGGATCAGCATGATAAGTAACCATAGCGACAGAAAACATGTTAGAGAAACATTTCTTTGTTATTGTTCAAAAGTTTGACCCATCTGTTAGCATGGAGGGGGCGGAGCTTATGACCTATACTACAACCAGTCAGCAGAGGGCTTGACATAACTGTCATATCGTCAATACAGTCCATAGTGTACACACACACACACACACACGAATGTGGATTCAGATGGCAGCTTTAAAACTGAATAATTATAATAAGAGTCTGAAATAAGAGGCACTATTGTAGCATTTTAGCTAGCAGTAGAAACACGTTGAACACACAGTTAGACTGATAATAAACACTTATTGTTCTTATCTTATTAATTCTTTATTTAATGATGTCAGGAATGATTCAGAGAGCAAAGTGAGAGCAGGACATTTAGAAGAAGCTCTGAGATGCTGTGACTGAGTAGCATGTTGTGCTTTTAACTCACCAATGTTTTTTTTAACCGCCAGTTTCCACCTAGTCTACGTTCTTTCAGCGCCAATGTTTTCTAGGACTGTGTGCGCCCTGCCACATCAGAACCACGAGATCACGCCGGAATAAAGAGAAAAACGTGTAAACAATATGTTGCTTTGTCTTTGTGAGGATTATTTGTTGTCGGCGCCTGTTTGACGTCATCAACCAATCAAACTTTATTTATAAAGCACCTTTCAGACAAATTAAACTGCAGTTCAAAGTGTTTTACAAGAGTGCAGAAAAATTATTGATGAAAAAGTAGTTTATAAAATCATTGAGAGACTAATGCACACCAATAAGAATTAAAACAAATATATCTAAAATAAAAAATAAAATAAGACACATAAAAGCAATAAGATATTAAAATTAATACATAGAAGAATATTTAAAATAGTAGGATAAAAAAGACAAAACAATCATGTTAAGATTTGAATTTATATAAAAGCCAGACTGAATAAATGAGTTTTAAGATTGCGTTTAAAAATCTCAATATTCTCGGCTCCTCTCAGCTCCTCATGTTGATCAAGTGATGGAACATGATCAGCAGTCTGTTTAGTGCACGGCGCTCACAGACTGAATGTGGAAATTGGCACCAACAGTGTTGAGGAACGCTTTCTGGATGTTTGCATGTTATTGTTGTTGACATTATTTTCCCATGATGCTCCTGTTGAATGTCAACTGGCTCTTCTTTTTTTTAAACTTGCAAAGTGGATTCACTTTGAAAACTTGCACATGTTTTCATTCTAAATGATTTTTTATATAAAAACATCAGATCTTCAAGTTCAGGTGTTATTAATAAATCTTTTTTTCAATGTTGTTGTAATTGGGCTTTCACATCTCCAGGAGGAGCTGCACGTCAAGGCTGAGTTAGACGATCTTCAGATCTGGTTTTCGTCCATGAGAGCCCGAGTTTCAAATCAATCAATCAATCAATTTGTATAGTGTCAACTCATAACAAGTATTATCTGGAGACACTTTACAAAAGCAGGTAAAAGACCTTACTCATTGTTTTCTTACAAATGATCTGGATATACAATAAAAACAATCATTGACAAGAAAAGAAAACATCATGTCACAGGTGTTGGAAACTTATGAACTGGACCCAAATGCAGATCAAACAAACATAATTTATTTTAACAAAAAAAAGGCAAAAACAAAAACTTACTTTGTTCAAACCAAAAAAGGGAAAACAAGAAGCTACAAGGAAATCACACAGGAACGACTAACACAACTCTCATCCGACATCCGACATCCGACATCCGACATCCGACATCCGACAAACTACAATGAACTGACCCAGAGGGGAAGAAACACAGAGACTAAATAGACACAGGGGGAATCAAACACAGGTGAAGACAATAAGGCCAATCAGACTGGAGGGAAACACACAGAGGAAGGAATAACACAGGACGAGAAACACAAAGGACTAGAACTACAACATAAATCATGACACACTAAGATACAGAGAAATCAAGAATGTAACATAACCACTAGAACAAAGAAACACAAGGATAAGAAACTACAAAATAAAACAGGAAACACTAAACTATAAAACATTAAGACAAAAACACACAACGGAAACAATAACCACAAGGAAACCTGAACTTTGAAATAAACAAAATACAAACTAAAGACTGAATCATGACACATCATGTAGACTATCAAATAATACAATCAGATCAAATATTAACTAAGAGCATTACTTTATATATAAACATCTTTTTTTTAATATATATTTTATTCATTTTTTAACATAACAAGCACAGAACAAGACAGCACAGATGTAACCAAATTACTGAATAAAAAAAAATATATATATATATTTAAAAATAAAAATAATAAAAATAATAACATACATGGGTTGTAATAACATATATCATATCAGATACAATCTTATCTACCTACATTACATGTCAAAGGGAAAAAAACATGACTATGATGTATTTTTGAAGATAAAGTGTGGGCATCCTTTCTGCAATAAGCCAACCAGATCAGTGGGAAGATAATCTATAAAGGGTTGCCAAATATTATAAAATAAGTTGTTATTGCCCTTTAATTTAGCACTGAGGTGTTCCATAGGAAGAACCTTAAATGTTTCTCTGTACCACTGCGTGACTGATGGAGGCTTCTCCTGAATCCACTGAAACAGAATACATCGCCTCGCTAGGAGCAGAAGTTTACCCAATAGAACGAGCTGTCCTGTTGATAGAGAGAACTGTTGCGTAGGTGAGTTCAGGAGAAACAATGCTGGCTCTAGTTTTATTGTTCTGTGAAAAATTAAGCCAAGCTCCTGGGCAACATTTTTCCAA